GGCTTGCATCTTCAGAAGTGGTTTGCTTGAACGCTTACACTGTTCTCATCAGAACCCGCGTTCAGTTCTGCGGAAGAACTGAACGGGTTCTGATGATAAAAGTGTAAGCGTTCAAGCAAACCACTTCTGAAGATGCAAGCCACTCGTGCTTGCGAAACGTCAGGAATACATTCTACCGAACGACGGCCTAAAAACCCTAAAAATCCGTTAGTTATAAGGAATGGCCTCGAAAGTCTATATCTTTTGATTAGACACTGTTGAAGTTTAAATATGTAACTAGGTTTTGGATTTGAACTGAAGTTCCTGGGGAATTTCACGCGAAACCGATGTGGAAATCCTCCATTTTCTTGGGGTATTTAAGCTTTATTTTTCCAATTACATTTGATTAAAAATCTTTCGTCGCAACCTAAACCTGTTTTGGCTCAGATATGGCGACAGAACAAAACCGGTTTTTGAACTGTCTAAACTTTGAGATGGGAAAAAGTCGAATAGATTTTTCTTGATGTTAAAACAAGATCATTTCCTACCATTGACAGACAAACGACCGAAACGGAACGATCCAAATAATTCCACATGCCTTTGAACTCGTTCCTCATGTTCCAGGCTTAATTCAAGCCAGATGCTTGGGGACGTTTACATTAATTAAATGAGCCATTTTTCGTTGGATAATCACGAACTTGAGGCAATCGGTCGGTAATAAAGCGGTTTTGTTTCCCCGTCGAGTAATGAGGGCATTGAAACTGTTCAATTATGCATCGCGATCGAGGTTTTGGTTGCTCCATATTTGCCGTTCCCTCATGATTAAACCAAAGCCAATCAGAGCGGGTGTTTAAAGGTGAGTTTGAATTCGCTTTTGCACCCGCCACATTGGATAATTAAAAAAGTGTTCGGATGCAGCACGTTTTCCAACAGCCTGGTGGAAAAACTACAGTCGGATGTGACCGGAAACTCCAACACTCGTCGGTGTTCCTGTCTTGAAAATTGACAAATCTGTTCAATACTGTGGCCTTTCATATTTAACCCTTCTTCCTTGATTAAATCCCCAGGCCCGTTCCACTCTTTCCAGGTAATTAAAGCCGAATGAAAAATGTTTTTTCCGGCTATCAACTTGCCGCAACGGCTTTTACCCCTTTCTAATTGTTTTTTGTTTTGCGACTGCCGGAGGGCGCGATTCACTAATGAAATGAGAAAATTAAAAATGGAACTTCGAATATTAAATTAGCGAGTTCTTCAGCAATGTGATGCTGCTCTTTGCATCGAAGCATCGGCTCCGTATTATGCGTCTGATTGGTGCGGGATTGTATTGGAATTTAATTAGTGGGGAACTCTGAATGGGAAAGACGTCGAGCAATCAACCACTCGACGCTCAAGTTGGGAATTTCGAGTGCAATTTGGGTTTCATTATGTATTTCCGCAATTAAATTTCAAAATTGGTGTGAACGAAAGAAAAGGATTTTATCAGGGAAAATTGCTGGTTAATAGAAATGAAATTGAGGCAATCGGGAAATTTTCCAGAAAGTGTATAATTACATTTTGCAAGCATCCAAATCCGTCGTCAGCGGGCCGATGGTGTCCACAAAACTCCGTGTTCTTTCGCTTTCGGGACGCGCGCGCTTTTACGGACGAAGACGAAGTCCGTTGCGAACGAAAAGCGCGGATAAACTGCCGCCGATGTCCCGAAGCCGAGTTCAGTTTAGAGGGCGCAAGCCCTATCCTTTAAATAATTGTGGAGGATTCCTCTGGAGGTGGCCGACGAGATCCATTGGTGCCAAACGGATTGTCCCAATCATAATCGCAATCATAATCATCGATCCGGCTGCATTGGCAAAGAGCAAGTCCAAGGCTCATTTTTCCACATGTGTGGGTTTTGAGGAAGATTTCACTTTGGAAAGTTGCCGGTTTGTCCTTAGATGTGGTGTTCTAGTTGCGCATGGGATTGGAACAAGTTGCTCAGCCCAGGAAGAAGACGGAAAACAGCTCGCAGTGAAGAGAAAGTAGTTTAACAAAAATAGACGAAAATCACCGGTTGAAGATAGGAAATCATTTACCAGTTCCCCTTGGAGATTTCCCACTTATTCAAAGATTCGATCAGCCAAACTGGAAACTCATCTCCTGGACCCCAAAGTGATTGTAATTGTCCATCTGGCCGATAAAGCATCGACTGAAATGGAAAGAACTGCAGTTTTCCATACATAAATCAATCTGGATCGGCAATAAACGTCCCAGTTGAGTCGCCCTCCCCCTGCATTAGCATAATCAGCTCGGAGATAGAGCGAGTATGTCATTTCGAGATAATAACCCGGCGCATTCATTTCCCATATATTTTCCCAGGAAAAGATGCAGTTTAGCTGAAGCCAGTCACCGATCGACAGTGTCACAGAACATACCCCATTATTAATATTCCTATTCGTCCCATATCCCGTCTTGTTTGCCTAGCACTTCATATAATAAAACGTTCTATCTGAAGGTTGATGTATTTAGCCCTTTAACAATCATCAATTTTTCTTCGTATTAAACAGACTTTGCAGGAAAATACCGCAGTTTGTATTAACTTTGAAGACAATTTTTTCAAAAATGAAAAACTCCAGAAAAGAAGACCGCAATTATTTTCATCAGATTAAGGCTTGCTGCAAACGGTATCCAAATGGCATACAAATTACTTCATAGAAGGTTGCCTGATTTATATTAAAAACATGTTTACTCTTCAAATGAATGTTAATATGCAAAATTAAGTAGGTACATTCCAGAACATACCACTAGCACACCGTGAAAAACTGCGCAGTATGAACGACTTCCCTGTTTTATTCACCTCGATTGCCTCTTTCCAAAAAACAAAACCTCATCCCTAATGCCGTGCTAAAAAACAAATTCCCAAAAGCGGACATAATTTGAAGATTTCCGCACTTAGAAAATAAATTCTGAATACCAAATCATAGAATTATTAGCTTCACCCCGTAAAATCCATACTGCGTTCACATGTCCGCTTGTTACGCTAGACACTACTATCACTAGTAAATCTTTTTATTTAAAAACAACACTGGCTTGTCAATGAGGGCACTACTTTGTACCTGGTACACATTCATTGAGTCTCATCTTTAAATCAAGCAAGTGAGATAATCACTAGTCCATGAACAACAACACACTGGTTTCTTAGATGTTGAAAAATCACTGGGAGGAGAGCGAATGATAAAATGCTCTTGCCACCAAAGATTCCTGATTGCGAGGTCGGAGTATGGAGGTCGCGCAAAAGTGTTCTACAATTTGCATGGCCTTGCAGCTATAAATTTATGTGCCACTGAACTTCCTGATCCGAAGGAAAGTTAGAGTGTCCTGACTGGGGGGATATTTTGTGGACAGTGTTTACAACCACCCGTAGGGTTGTCTGCTGCATTTTTTGCCTTCTGACCCACTTGGCGCAAAACCCAAATCCAATCCGAAGGGACAAATGCGAAAACACGGCATGCGTGAAGCATAAACATTTGCCGATTCCCGATAATCGGCAACGAAGCCCCAGGAATAAGAAACAGTTTTTTTATGTGTGTGTCTTTTCATCGATTTGTTTGTCCAGTAGTGTCGAATGCTATTTAACATGAAGAAGCCATTGCCTGGCACCGTTTTACCGGTCGCGTTGTCGCGAAAAATTCACACTACTTGTTTAGATTTCATTCGGGGCATGTTTGCATTCCAAAATTCAATTTGCATGTTTCCGAACCCCAACCGTGTTCGCACCCGAAAAAATATTTGACTTTTTTCACACTATTGGGCTGGACGATGACGCAAAACCCTGTTTCTTCCCCACCTCCAGTCCAGCCAATATTTGCGGGAAAATGGGTCTTAAGGTGAACCTGCTTACTGGAGATTTATTCCCACTTCAAACCTGATTTTTTGGAGGCGAAGTTCCAATGTCTTCCGACCGAGTTGTTCTGCTTACGCGTCTGGGAGAGTGGAGGCTTTTAAAGGATTTTCCGCCAATGTGCGCCAGCACATATTTTCCTAGATTTTCAGTGTTCTTGCGAAGCTCTTTGATTCTGATCTTCATCGCCGATGGTTCCTGAGGGTTTTGGTTGAGTTTGTGTCAAATCTTTTCCGTGAGAATAAGCAGGAAGGCCTTAATTGGGAGAAGCTCTGCACAAGTTGGTTTTGCGGTCTAAAAGTGTCACTGATATGAAGTCTCACCCTTTTTTTTTATAAATGCATCGGGGCAATTTTCCATGCATTGTGTGGAAGCAATGAAGCCCGGAACGTTGCTTCTTAACCATTCTTGGGTCACTCGCGCCTGGTGAGACGAGATCCTGTTGGAACGTCCAGCGCTTCCGACCGAAATGTTTGTTTGCTCATGGCTTCCAAAGACCTTCTCAGCCTTTTTCACGATCGATTGTTGCATTAGCTTTAAGTCCACGATCCAAAAGCACGTGCGGAGAGCGGCGACCGTTCGATTCTGCTGTGAATATTGACTCATCAGTGGTAACTGGCCAATCGCGTGCAAGCAAAGTAACTCTTTTCCTTTTTGAGCCCTTAAAGTAACTCCCACTTAATTTGTTTACGGTATAACTTTTTAGGCTGGAATATTCCCGAACAAGTCAGGTGGATTTTTTCGGATTTTAAGTTTCGAAAGACTCCCCATGGGAGGATTCCCATTAATACTTACTTAACTTTTCGGTTTAAAGTGGATCAATTCAAAACATTATACATTTTTCGGTTTCATCAAGCTCTCTTTTTCAAATGCTTTCATTTCAGGACTTTAAAATAGATTTCTTCCAGTTTTGAGGTCCGAGCACATACTGGAAAAAACTTGAAGTTTCTCGAATTTTAAAATTTGAAAACTGACATTTTTCGTCTCTTGAACGTGCGCAATTGAAACTTCTTCTTGACTTTGCGGTTTCTTAAAAGTGCTCTTTTCAAGCGTTCTAAAACCTGAAAGTTTCAGATTTCAATTTTTGAAATCAAATGCAGCTTTTTGTCGTGACGAAAACTGGAAAAATTCTACTTGCAATTCGCATTTCTTAATCGGAAAACTAAAACTTTCAGACTCTTGAATGTCATGAAATGAATACATTTGAAAACAGCGAGTTCCCTTTAGGTTGTTTTTGAGTTTTCGGTTTCTTAAAAGTGCCCTATTAAAATGCTTTCGATTTATGACGTTCAAAATTGCGAAAGTTTCAGTGTTCAAATTCGGGTTTTTGCCGGGACCAAAACTGGGAAAAATCTATTTGAAGTCGAACTACGAATTTGAAAAGTAAACTTTCAGAATTTCTAAAGTCTTGAAATGAAAACATTAGAAAGAGCGAAACCCCTTTTGATTTTCCGATTTTTAAGGCTCCGTCTCAAACGTTTTCATTTAACGATGTTCAAAATTCCGAAAGTTTCAAAATTTTCAGATTTTAAAGCCAGTTATTTGCCGCCAAGTGAACTGGAAAAAATATGCTTGCAATTCGAATTTTTTAATCTAAAAACTTATACTTTCAGACTCTTGAACGTCATGAAATGAACACATTTGAAAAGAGCGAGTTCCCTTTAGGTTGTTTTAGAGTTCCTCGGTTTCTTAAAAGTGCCCTGTTAAAATGCTTTCGATTTATTACGTTCAAAATTGCGAAAGTTTCAGTGTTCAAATTCGGGTTTTTGCGGAAAACTGGGAAAAATCTCTTTAAAATTGAACCATAAATTTGAAAAATAAACCTTCAGAATTTCTATCTTCTCAAATAAACTTTCTTTGAAACTTCTGAACTTCAGAAGTTTCAAAATTCTGAGATTTTAAAGTCAGTTATTTGCCGTTACGAGAACTGTAAAAAATATATTTGCAATTCGAATTTCTGAAAACTTTTTTTCAGTCATCGGTAATTCCATGTAGGTACTTTTCAGAACTTGTAGGTCTTGATTTTCAGCTCAATTTTCAATATGTCTGCATCCGTTCAAGCGCTATCGGCAGTTCAGCAGCTGTTTTTCCTCCACTTCGACGTGCATTTTGTTCCATTCGCGCCGTCACTTTTCGAATGTCTTCCGGTGATGTTGCAGTATTTTTCGATGCGCAAATTTTCTACCCATTTGAAGGCGCTGGAACTGATTATCGCACCCAAATAAAGATCAATTACACTGTTTCTCAGCTTCGAATAAAATACTCATAGTCGCATATAAACACTATAATGAAATATCAGCCACCCTGTATATAATATTCACCTTCACATGTTAGAAGGACAGGTTTCTGGACCCGAACATGTTCAAAATGAAAGCTGTGGTTCATCCTGCAAAACGCGTTGCCTTGTTAAAGCCTCGTCGATTGTTTTGCGCTAGCAGGGCGATCTTCTAATAATATTTCGTCGCTCCTAAATCTCCCAAAGCCGTATTTCTGATGAAAATATATAAAGAAAATCCTGCGAGAGGCCCGTAGCCCGTTAAAGGCTGGTCCGGAAAAAAAGAGAAATAAGACGTCCATTCGGCAACTATATAAGCACTCCTCAAGCCGACAGACTCCCATCGGACCTGGTGATGAATAGGGCTCGATATTCCCTTTGTTATTTGTTTATCCTTACTGGGCCGCCCTTAATGGAATGAGCTGTTTTTGTTGTGTCGGAGAAAGTGTTAAAAAAGCACCGTTTATGTTCCTGTTGATTTGTGGCTGCGTTCTTTCGGCGCGCCCTAATGGCTGGCGGATAATTGGCAAAATTAGCCTGCCGTTTCATGGTAGCTTTCGCCGATGAAGAATTGCATCTTGATTTCAGTTCCATCCAGAATGATTTTGTGTGAGCGACGCCCAACATTTCCGTGTTTTTATTTGAAACAAAAATGCCAGCCATTTAACTACAAGTGGTGGTTGGTGTTTTAAAACCGCGAACTCGGCCATTGTGTAAATATAATTTTCCCGCTACCTGCCACAGTTTTCTGCGTACCGGGAAGTTGGCAGTTAATTGAATTTTCCAACACAAACATTCACATTTTATGTGAAGCGGCCACCTCCTCTTACGCTTCGAAAATATATATCTCGTTAACGTGTTTTACATATAATTAACCGACCTGTCCAAACATCAATTTGGAGCAATTTCAGCAGGGGAAGGTTTTGCTTGTTTTTCGCCTCGGCACTATTGGAAAGAACATTGTTTTTCCAGAAGGCGAATGCTGACGGATTTGCGGCCTTAATAGTGACGCTTTTAATTAGGAAACGTTGACCTTTGCCGTGCACTCAATTTGAGATCTATTTTAACATGGACCGAGTGCTTGTGTGCGTCTTTCGAAACCCATCCCTAGTCCTTCAAGTCCTTCTGGATTCAACTATTTTTTGCCTGA